CTCTGCCCCGCGTGGGCAGGGGTCCGGGGGAGCTGCAGCGGCCGGAGACGCCTCCTCTTCGTCACGAACAGGGACCAGCATCCGGCACGTGCAGCCGGGGCCCGTGTCCCATCCTCCGGGCGAAGACCGAGACCCCGCGCCGAGCAGCCTCGGCGCTGAGCGCTCGGCTCTGTGTCGAGGCCTCCCGAGATCTGCCCAGACACGCTCGCGCGATGACACGCGAAGGAGAACGGTGGGAGCGTGTGTGCTCGTATGTGCAGTTTTTACACCTTGGGGTTTAACTCTCTCTAGCGCTGAGCGGGAGTCCCGGAGGCTCCCGGCCGTGAGACCTCCTGTCTGGAAAGACGAAAGCTTTCTCTTCGCAGCATGCTTCGGGGATCCTGGGACAGGGTCCGTCCCTTAACCAGGGCCGTTTGGGGTCAGACTCCAAGGAAGCTCCAAGTGGTTTGCTGTTAGTTGGTTTAGTTCAAACTTTCCTTGGTTGATTTAAAAGACAGCTTTCACTGCTCATCCCTGTTTCCCAAAGAAGGAAATCTCTACACAGTAGTTGTTTGCAGGTTTGCATCTGTAAGATTTGCTTGTTAAAAGTAGCACACTAAGAGGCATCACGAGACAGGACTATAAAATGGCTGAAGCGTGCTCTGTGACTGCCGGTAAGTTTATTAAGTCTTTTTCTGTTCTTGTTATGATTGAATGTAACATCCTGTTGTGATGTTGCCATGGCAAAACCAGGCAACATCTGGAGCAACACGAGTTCTCTCTGATTTTGATGACCGTCAGAGAATTTATTTATAGACTTGCTGGCAAAACGAGTCGCCTGAGCCTGAACCCTCCGCAGACGGTTCCTGGCAGTGGCAGCGGGGAGGGTGGCCTGGTGCGGCGTTCCCTCGCCTCCGTGGCGGAGGAGTGCCGCTGAGCCGAATGGTGCTTCTGGAGTCAGAGGCCAGGATCCTAAAGGATCATCTACCTCTTTTCTCTGCCCCTGACAGTAGGAGGATGATTCCCTAGCGGGTATTTCCCAGTTTAATGTTGGGGTTGGGTGACCGCAGGGGTGATGAGCAGGTATTTCGGAGACGTTGTGGTGGGAAGGTACAAGGTCTGGCAGGTGAGCGAGGTTGCTTTTGGGACATGAGGTGACCAAAACAATGCACAGAAAGAGGCAACAGGACTCAAAGGATCACAGTTGCATTTTAAAGCTAGCAGCCTGTTGCAACAAACACGGTAATCTGCCGCTCTTCCAATGCGTTTTCAGCTGTCTGCAGACTCAGGAAGATGACTCTGTATCTATTTATATTGGGTCGTGGTTGGACAGCTCACTTTGGCAGTCTAAAGAGGTAGAAATGTAAATATTTTTCTAAGCAGAAGCTTAGAGCTGCCATTGCTGCTGAGAGACAAGAGATGGTTTCTGCAACGAATTCCAAGATACTGGGATCAGAGACAGCAGCAGGCGCGGCTTGTGGTGTGCTGCAGGTGGGGCTTGCTCTTTACGGGGCGGTTTATGAACATGCTGCCTCTGGGGACTTGTCCCCGGCACGGTGTTTGTGACAACGTGTGGTGGAAGGTCTGGCTGCAGTGCTGTAGGCAGGTTGTTGTGTATAAATGCAATTTGAGTGTGTGTGTATAGATGTATGTACATACTCAGGCATTTCACACTGCTAGCGGTAGCTTTATTTACTGCTTCAGCTTTGAGAGCTCCTTGGATGGGGGGGTGCTGCAGAGCTGATGAGCAGCCTGTTGGATTTGCTCCAGCCTCAGCCCTCACCCTGGGCGTAGCATATTCCCTAAAAGTATCTCTGATCTGGCATGAAGGATGGGGCAGCAGCGGCAATGTTGCTGCAATTGCCATTTCCTTTTATGCATACAGTTCAGTAATAGCTGCTTCTTTGCTCCGCAGGAGCCCTTGTCAGACTTTCCCTGGGATTTAACAAGGAGCTCTTTGAAGTAAGCAGCGGGTGCAAAACACTGCCGAGCCGGGCAGCCCAGCCCAGGCCAGCGCAGGGTACCGACGTTTGTTGGCTCCTGCTGTGCTTGGCTGCCGGGCTCAGGGCAACAGGGCTCTTTGCCCCCTCAGAGTTTTGCTGGCAGAGCTGAGTAAGCGTCTTTGCAAATTTAGCTGGGAGCTTAGCTTTGTTAAACTTCTCCTTGTAGGTGGAAGATGACACCTATCCCCTTTCTAGATGACAAAGAATCAGGGAATACTGACCTTACTGTACAGCTTTCACACCAGCCCTGGGCTCTGTGACCTACGCATAGGACAAGATCAAGAAATCAAGATGTTATCTCCTACTTACGAAAGTTTGTATGAAAAAACACAATGAACTTGGCTTTGGCATGGGAGACCAAGGATGGCTCAAGGGGAAAAACCATGAATGATGGATCAGGTCACCATGCCAAAGCAAATGCGTGAATGTGATGAGTTTATCCCAAGAAGATGTGACTTGACGTTAGGGTTTGTCACTCTTACAATGACTGTCAGAAAATATTGCTGCAAAATTTCATTACCTTTGGGAAGGGAGGGGGAGGAGCAGGGTGCAGTCACCTGCAGGCTGACAACTTTGCATCACTTTTGGAGTTCAGCTCTCGGAGCACATTTCCCTGCCACTTCTAATTTTCAGTCTAGATTCATCTTCCTCTTTACACAGTTGTGCACCAGGGATCTGCTTCTAGCAGTGTTGGCATTCTTGTTTCCAGCTTTCTACTGACCAGGGTGTGAGCTGTAGTGGGCTTCCCATCCTTCACTTGAATCTGTCCCAAAACTGTGTGGGTTTTCAGCTTGTTCTTCTTCTAAAACAATCTCTCTCCTCCTGTACACTCCTTTTCCACATAGAGCTCAGCCCTGCGCATGCCTCTGTCTCAGTATTTCCTATTCAGCCTCTCCACTTGAGCTAAGTGAAAATTAGCAAAATAATAAGTGCGTCGTAACCAGCTTTGGAGTTAACGTCACCTGGTGATGACGTTCCCTCTTGTTGGCTCCCATCACTGGCAAGCAGAGACTGGAGCACCCTTCTCCTGCTGTCCTCTGCTTTTCCAAGGGCTTTAAGGCTTGTAACCAAGTGGTTTCTTGACCAAGTTACAGCTGGTACAGGGCAGTGCTGAGCAGCAAGGAGAAACCTCCTGGCCTGAGACGGAGTGCATGTCCACAGCCCAGTGCAGAGCCTTGCAGATACCTTAGCCTGGGCTCTGGCAACAACATAAGCGTGTTTGCATCACGCTGTGTTGAGGCAAATCACGCCTGGGCAGCAGGTATGCAGCGTGGCTGCCGTCCCACCTGGCTCGCAGCATGTCCTCTTCATGGTACAACTTCCTGCAGAGGGGACGCTTCCAGCTCAGCAGAAACCTGCCTCATTCCTGGCTGGCAGCAGTATTCAACGCAGGCCCACTGAGGGGGTCGTTGCTCAGAGGGCCCCTTGTCACCGACAGTGTCAGCGGGGGAGCATCTCCTGCTCCCCTGCTCCTCATTACGTGCAGGGCGACAGCGGTTGTTTGCTTTGGACAGCCTCAGCGTGGATTTACAACTTTCAGCGGTAACAAACCGTGTTTTGTCTCGCTGCAGGGCAGCTCTGCAACGTGCATTGATAAGTATTCCTCAGAGTGGGCCTGGCTGGCTCGTAGGCTGATAAGGACTAGGATAAAAGTCGTCTCTCTTCTTCACATTGCCAGCGGTCTTTCCCTCACTGGCTTTTGGAGCATTTTGCACGGGGAGGGCAGGAAGCTGTGGCACCGCCGACCCACAAGAGACCGTAGCCCGGAGGTCACCCGCGCAGCCTGCGGGAGCGCTCAGGCCTCGTGCTCAGAGGGTGCTGGGGTCCCTGCAGGCTGGGCAGGAGGCCGGTTCCTACCAGTGACCCTGGCCTGCCGCTGGTCTGCGGGGAGGCCAGATCTGTGGGCGCTGTTTGCAGACCCGCAGGGCTGGCTCCGGGGCACGGCGGGGCCGTGGCTCAGGTCAGGCTCCGCAGAGAGCGGCGCCCGGTGCGGCTGAGCACCTGAGCAGGCTGCGCGGCTGCTGCCCTCTCTGCAGGGACTGTCTAGGTAGCGTCCTGCATCCCGCCTTGGGATTCTTCAGCAGATACAAATAGGGCAGCCAGCACCTCGTACACCATAAAAGGCAAAGCACTGGGGAAGAGCTTCTGGGATGGGAGCCGGCCACTGGTGCCACGGCTTGCTGAAATGTCAGGCATCCGGGGCTGTGTATAAACGGATTAGAGCCCTTCAAGCTCTCTCACTTTCCCCTCCCTTCCACCGCCGTTGTCGGAGGATTTACAGGAGCCTGTTTGGCAGAATTATTGCTTGGAGGGAGGAACTTTCTGCATGAAGGTTTGTTTAGAGAAATGCCCGGCACATTAATGGGGATTTTTGATAATTTATGTTTTGGAGTCTCTTAAGGGAAACTTGTTTCTGAGGCTGCCGTTAGGCTTCTCTGTTTATCTCGGGAATACTTTTTATGTCACAGTAATTCACTGAACAATAACATATTCCTGCAGATAATTCCAGCCAATCTGTCTCTGCCCTAAATACTTTGTGTATACAGTATCTTTCCCAGATACACTGGGATCCAGACCAAGGCCCAGCGTCAGCACTGCACGCTGCTTCCAAGGAAGGAGTGTTTGGGAGACGGAGTTTGGGACAATTGGTCTCATGTCAGAACACGGTGCAGGGGAGGGAAGTGCGCCAGGGGTATGGATGTGGATTTTCAAGCTCTCCGTAAAATCCACGGAGGAGCTGACAGAGGGTGATCCTGCCCAGATGAGCTGCAGCTGATGCAGTAACATCAAAGGGAAGCCATAGAGAATCGCTGCATAGACCCATAGGGAGTTAACTGCTGCAACAGGTTGGGGGGAAAAAGGGAGAGTCCCTGAAGGAAGATGTGGATGCGAAACAAATCCTGCCTGTAAAGTGCTATGGACCAGCCAATTAGAAGTTGGGGGTTGCATTTACAGTTGTTCAGGTGGGATATATTTGAGGAGGGACCAGTGTAGCATCAAGTCTGACAGCTGTTGTGTTAGCAGGCAGCACCCTGCCCTGCCACAGAGAATGGACTGCATCATGCCAACATGCATTTTCCATCTCTACTGGCCATGAGGCTAAAAAATGCTGATTCACATGACCCAGGCACAGAGATTTCCAAGCTGCCTCGGTCTCTCCGAGTACTGAAGGGAAGAGAAGGCGGTGCTGAAAGCCTGCTAAGACCTAAGGTGGGAAGAAATCTTGGCTGGCCAGTTTCAAAGCATTTGGATCAGGGATTAAGGTAACCGAGCTCCCAGCCATGGAAGCCTCTACCTGGCAATACTATGGATATCTACTGGATGACACAAGTAAGGCAAACGGGAGAGACTGCACTGCTTCCCAGAGAACCTCCAGAGTGACGTGTGAAGATTATACTTTGCTAGATAAGAATCAACTCAGCCAAGAGGGCCTGGGGCACAGGATGGAGAGAGGTAACCTTCCCGACCCCGAGTGTGATCTGCATGTCTCTACCAAGTTGCAGACGAGCAGAAGTCTGTGTGAGAGAGGGCAGTGGGGGCTGGTGGCAGAGGAACTGTGCTTGGAAGAACACGCTGTTTCAAAAGCGCACAGGAGAAATGAGGAGGGGGAAGTCTCTCCAAAGGTGTATGAAATACAGGTTGGCCAGAGGCGACCAGGCACGAGCAGGACAGTGAAGCCTGTTGTGTATAGGCTGGAGGAAAGTGAATACAGACGCCTGATCCAGGAGGGAGAAGCAGAATGTGAAGGGAAATGGGAAATGACAGAATACAAGATACCTTTGATTCAGAAAAATCTCAGTCACCAGGAAGGTTACCCAGGGAATGAGAAGGCAGCAAGTCCAAATGTAAATGTGATCAACACTTTCCAAGGAACCTTGAGGAAGCAGATAAGCCGTTCAGACTCCGAAAGCAGCGTAGAGAACAGACAAGTTAATAAACTGACATTGAACTCTCCCTCAGAGGAAAATAAACCAAGTGTCCCAATCAGGTCGGATAGCTTTGAGCGAAATGCCATGCTAATGGATTACATTTTGCAAAACAAACAGGAGACGACAACATCTGCTTCACACATCCCAAGAGAGAGCAGCAAGCCAGCTGAAAGCTTTAGGCAGACGGTTAACTTCACCCCTCAGACTGACGACTCGCCAGACCTTTGCCAGAACGGTCAGACTAGTGAAGAGGATCCAGTCAGGAAGCCAGAGAAAGATAAGCAGGTTGTGAAGAGCCTTGAGATAATGGTCTCTGCGGCTGCAAATTGTGCTTCAGTGGCTAGAGACACCGAAAAGCTTTCGAGACAGAACAGCAGCCAGCTCCTGGAGAGCTGGGAACAGCTCGGAGGTGAAGCAGATGCAGGAATACTTGATTTGTATAGTCAGAAAAACACCCCACCAGCCCCTCCAGCCAGGTCGCACAGCAAAGAGAGTCTAGCACTAAGTATTAGCAAGACTATGGCAATGACAGAAGTGCTGCTGGAACAATACAGCGATGCGGCAAAGCTTGCCAAGAAGCAGACAGCAGCTGCAGCCGAGCACAGCGCGGACCAGCTAACTGGAGGAAGGATTCCAGGAGGAGGGGGCCCGGAGGAGCAGGAACGGAAGGGGAGGAAGAATCAGGAGGATGAGAAAGTGCTTAAAGTTGCCGACGCAAAGAAAACTTTTGAAAAGCATAAGCCACCAGAGGGGAAAGCACCAACACCACCACCCAGCACAGCCAGAAAAGGTGAGGTGTGACAGCTCAGCTGGGAGGCAGGCTTGCAAAATGCTGATCTGGGTTATAGTGCTGTATTTTAAGGCTGGATTTAAGGCAAATTGCAGGTGAGAGTTGAACAGTGAGGTGAGTTTGTACTTGTGAAGCTTTTCAGGAAATACCTGCCTTGTAATAATCAAGCAACAGACGATCTACTCAAGGCACGTTGGGATCTAGTAGATCTCTGGTCCTAATGAGGCAGGAAGAAAATCATGCATTGATTCAAGTCTACTAGCCGTCTAGTAAAAATACTTCTTACAGTGAAGCTGTTTTGTGAAAAGAGGGTTTGGTAGGTGAAGACTCTCCTGAATAGTAAATAAGTGTGCTATCTAGTTCTTCTATATTGCTTTTCATGAATAGACGCAATGGAGAAGTACCTAAATTATACTTTCTCCCACTTTCATGTATGCTTATTTGCCTCTGTCTCTCTATCCAATACAATTTTTATTTTAATTTTCATATGAAAGGAGGCCTTATTTTCCTTTAGGTTCTTTTTCTCCCGTGTTGTGACCTAGCTGAATAAGTCTTTCAGGAGCATGACATCAACTTGGAAACCATTTCACTGAAAAACTATGGATAAATGCACTTTGTTGAAATTGTACTGATAAAATAGTAGAGTTATGCAGAAATAGGGAGAGATTAGAAACGTGTTTGTTTGAAAGTTTGGATCCCGCAAGGACACTGGAGACCCATGCTGGTTAACTTGCATCTTCTGTTTATTGATGATCTGCTTGGTTATTGTGGATTTCCTTATAAGGGAAAATAAACATGCTAAGGCACAGGAAAACTATACTAACTTTGAATTGAATAATATATTTACTTTAAAAAAATAGGTGTGATTATCCCACCATGCTCAGTACATTATATTGTCAATTACACCTAATCAGAGAAGTCATGAAACCAAGTCAGAATATGAACATTGCCACAGAGTTTGCATTTGTGTCAGTGACAACACAAAGCCTACAGCAATGGGAAACAGATCTTATCCTCTTAGGAAGCATCTGAAGTCACATTATCATTCTCATAGTGTAAAGAAACAGATTTGTCACTGCAAACTATCTGCAATCTGACAGATTTAGGTTTTGTACATGAAGCATTGCTAGTACTGGCCATTATCAGGCATTATACTCTAAAGGCCCAGTGTCTCCGCTCCTCATTGAGTGGGAGATTTGTCTGATTAAATGGTACAGCTGATATGGCATGTTTTAATCAGCCAGATCAGATGGAGTGATGTTTTCATCAGTAATGAGGCACGCATTCTTTGTGGGGAATAGAGGGAGAGCAGGTGGATGTAATAGGTGACGGTACAGAAAAATGGGGTTAGAAGGGACAACAAGAAATCACGTTCCATCCCTAAGGCTATACAGGCTACAACTAAATAATTCCTGAGAGATGCTTATCTACTTGTTCTTCAGAAAAATAGTGAAGGAGGGTCAAGACAATCTATTCCAGTACTGAACTGTGAAAATGTTGCAACAAAGAACGGTAGGAATAGTGTCTCATTTTGCCTTACCTGTGATGCAGTCCATTTAAAAAACTGACTCTGTTTTTAAACAGGCGTCTACCCAAGCCTCACGTTGCCTAGCTGAACAAGGAGATCTTGCTTATATTTGATTCCTTTTTCTATACCTCTGATTTTTCCAGCATCTTTGGTCCAACTTGATCCTAGACAGCAGGGAGAGAAACAGAACAAGATGACAAAAGGATTCAAAACTATTGAATAATGAGGACAAGACTAGGATATGTGATAAATGTAACACGGAATGCTACAGGAATCACAACGCCAATCCTCACGTTACTGATCACTGCTCAAAGCCCCCGCTCTTTCTGTGGTGCCTGGCTGCTTTTTTTCCTACTATTCAGAACGATAGGAAGCGTCAACCCCAGGATATTCATTTTGTAAATAAAATACAGCTTGCTTTTTTCATTTTCCGTGTTCTGCTTTCTTGTCTCTCTTTTCCTAGTTAATCATCTGGTATAGTGGAGATAGCAACAAAGAAAATCCCATCTGTTGCAACTAATTGCTTCATTTTTATTTGGTGTCCCAACATTTTAATTAGGTATTGGAACTGAAATCTATCCCCTCTCTTATTGCAAAAATAGAGAGGAAAAAAAAAATATTTCACGATCCTGGACAATGATGGAGAACAAAAATATATGAGGAAAAAGAGTAGCTTGAATTTGATTAGAGATTTCCTTTCACTGTAAAAACTGCAGGCAGCATGTATTTCTGTGCCTTTCCTACAGACAAGTTGGTAGGGATGTGTGTGACATCTATATTATTACATACATCATGCATGAGACTGTATATATAGTAATAAACGTGCATTATGAAACATGTTTTAAATCATTAATAACAATAATATAAATTATTAATAACCTTCCTGACCTAATGTTCATTTATTATTACCTGTCAGTCTCCAGTGTCTTCCATCCAATGCAAGTAGTACATAAACGATGTCCTCACAAGTGCTTGCTTGCCACAGCAGATTTTCATGACCCTTTGGGGAGAAGGCTTGAGATATGACCCCAATTTAGTGTGTCTGGAAGAAGTGCAGTGACTTGTATGATATCACACAGCAAGGTGGAGCAGATTTGGGAATAAAACTAAGGAATTCTGACTCCTAACCCTATGCTTTAATTCACATATTCATCTTTCTTCCCTGCCGCTTGTTCTTAAATACTCGTATACACTTCTTCCTTTCTAGCTATTATTTTAAAAATCCGATTGAATATATTGCTCTCGCTATCTTCATTTCATAATTCTACAGCTCCCCTTTCTGGCCAAGGATTGAATAAGGCCAAACCAAACAGAGTTTGCTCTTTCTCTGAACAAACACTTTACTAAATTTGGTGAACAGATCACAAGGCGATGTTTCCCTGGGTAAACTACATAATCCTGCCTAAAATACATAAAATTAATTAACCATAATCAAGAGCAGTTACATGGTGGCTGTTAGTACAATGTTATCTCGACAGCTGCTGAACATTTGATGATCACTGAAATGTGCCCTAAAAATTAGGCTGTGTTACAAGTTTAATAAAGCTACCCTTGCCATTCAATATGTGCGTAATGCACGCTGAGAAAACAAGTCAGAAAGAATAACCTAATGCTATTACATGCACAGAAAATGGGTCTTTTTTTTCATTGCAATCAGTTCAGATAGATTTCTCTGCACTAAAAAAAAAAAAACAAAACTACATTCCAATAACATTAAGTGAAATGTAGGATCACATCACCAATTCCAATGGGAGCAGCTCCTCTCAGCACTGCTGAATTTGGTCTTGTGTATCTAAATCATGAGGAGCTAGGGGAAGAAGTATAAAAATACACAACTTTCAGGTAGGACAGTCTACTGCAATCTGACCTTCCGTGCTATTTAAAGGTAATAATAAATCAACAAGTTTCACAAAATAAATAGCATCATAAATGTTTTGGAAAGTTGTATAACTTGAGATGTCCGCAGTCCAGAAGTCCTAAAGCTAAACTGTCATGTCTGGCACATTTTGTGTAACTTAGAAGTTAAGCTGCAAAATAACAGGACTTTAAATTGCTGATCTCTCTGAACCCTCTGTAAGCCATTTTCCTTCATTCAGAATATATTTAGCAATGAGGATTTAAGAAAATTGAAATGTCTGAGGCAAATTCATCCCTCAAGTAACTTTTCTGGTCCTGAATGACTGGGTTGCCTCCCATCTAAGACTGCTCCGAGACACCAAGACAAGTTGTATTATATCAGCTGAAGGTCCAGAAAGCCAACAGAATATCTCCTGGATAGAGGTGCCTCAGGCATTTACATCTGTCCTGCTCTTAGGAACTCCCCTGGAGTACTCCTCAGGTCCTAATGAAGTCCCTCAAGCAAACAGTCTATGCTACACTGTTTTCCATGAAGGGTACATTTTAATGTCTTAATCAGTTGTCTTAAAATGCTTATTCTTTTAGTCTAGAGCCCACACAGTGTTAGGGGAGAGGACTCACACACAGCCACGCGCTCCTGAGATCTGTTTCCAATTCTGTGACTGATTTGTGCTACGATGTGCGGCAAGTGAAGTCATTTTCCAGCAGTGTTAAATATTGCATCTCCTGAGGAGATAAAGAGGAGCTGTGCTCCAGACCTTTGAAAGCAGTACCTATACCGTTAGATGCGTCTCTCTCTTCATTTTTTCTAAACTAGGGCTATTAATACTGCACTGGCAAAGGAGGCTGTGGGGCGTAATGAGTGCATTACCTTTAAGGCACGTTAAGATCATCATAGGAACAAACCAGCGTGATTTATTGCAGTGATGGAATAGATGCATTTTTGCAACATGCTAAATTTAGCTGCTGACATAAGCTTCAGAGGTGGAGTCTGTGGATATGGTGCTGTTTCCGTATAAAGGCTATGAAATAGATTGTTTGGAGCAATTGTGCATCGTTGTAGAGAGTAAGATATGTGGGACAGACTAGTGAAATATACTGAATAAATTCTGAACCCTTTCTGCAAAATTAAATTATCAGGCATGGTACTGATGGTAAATTGCAAGCGCTAGCTTTGTTCGTAGTTCCTTGTATCTGGAAGAATTTAGTAATAGGATATTTTTCTTTACAAAAATTAGAATATGTGACATATTTTGGCATGTTGTTATGCTAACATCACTCTGGCTTGAATTTAAGTGCTGTTTGTTAGACTAATTTTATTTCGCGGAAATGATGAAGGTTGCTGTTTAGGCTGGAGCTAAAAGGCATTAAAAAAAAAATCCTACCCGTTCTTTCTCTGTTGTTGAAGGCTTCATCCTGAGATTTATGTCGTTTCTTCATCACCTTATATGGTGATCTATTGAGATCTAAACTGCTCCTTAATCCAGGTGAGAATCTGAGTGATCTTTGGAGCATTTCCATCCAAGCATGTAAGAAAGCACTAGTGAAAAGTCAACAGGTATCATTTCCTTCTGAGTCAGTCCAGAGTGACTCTTCAGATGATGTATCAAGAAAG